CAAGCAACTTCGCCACTGCACCACCGTCCGTATTTCTTTTCCTAAGCAGTTGCAGTAGCTTAATTTCGTTTTCATCATTAAGAATTGTGCAGCTTTGACGAAATACGAAATTTGGATTCAGAGTCAGAATTTCAGACGGCAAAAATTGTAGAACACACACATCCATACATATGTACATATGTGTGTGTATGCCCGAGACTAACAACGAAATTCTAAAAATAGAATACATTTTGTGTAGCGCACTCACACATACGCAAGTGTGGTGTTAGATTTCTTTTAAAATTGTGCTGCTGTCATACATTTTTTTCTTCCCCGTTACGCATCTTGTTGTGTTATAGAGTCTTTGCTGGTACATATGGAATGAATATATCCATAAAAACTAATGTAGGATCAGTTAAAGATGAAATTGCCAAGGTGAAAGCAAAGTATAAAATCAGATTAAAGCGTTATGCGTGCGGTTATCTAGAATTTTTTACTGACCGACTCCAAGTAAAAGAAGTCGATAAAAAAAAACCTGGAATACCCGCGATGTGACGGTCTCAATACTCCAGCCGAACGTATCGCTATATGCGTGTGCAACTCATGTTTTGACTATGCATGTGAGCGTTTAAATTAACTTTTGTATATAGAAAAGCAAAATACTATAAAAATAGGTACTTAAGCGATTAAGTACAATGATGAGCATAAGTAATGAAACTACAACTACTACTCGACGGTTAATTTCTCATCAATAACAATAATGATCTAGAGTCTAGACCATCATATCCCTTTTATGATCACATGTATCACGTTTGTTTCATAGAAAACATTCCGACTTGTTTGTTATTCTTAATATAAGAGTTTTTAAATTCTTAGGTGGATGAATCAACAAGCGAATCTACGGGTGCAGTTAAAAAACGAATACTCGAAAAACTATAACCAACAGAGAAAAAATAGATGTCGCGCACGATGTTCTCAAAATCTATCCATTTCTAAAATGCCGATGCTACGGCTGCTGAGGCTTCTGAATTGTCTTTCTGCTTCAGGTTTTTCCATGACTTTATCAGAACGGGTGTAGGGGTCTACTAGTTCTGGGTATATCTTCAAGTAGTTTCCGGAATTGAAAATTTGATCCCAAAATTGCACATGATTACCTGAGACGGTAACGGTGCCATAAGCATTGTCATTTTTCTAAACTTCAATCAAATTACATGCTTTTATGCTCGTACTCGAAGAGTTAAGGGGTATATTAGTTTTGTGGTAAAAGTGTATGTGTGAGAGATGAGAAGGAAACTTATTCTAGATCAGCATCAATAGCCGAGTCGATATGTCAAAATTTCGCCACAGATGTAGATGTACCATAAGCTCACATATTTATATGTGCACGAGAAACAGTGGAGATAAAATTGGTTGACCAACTGCTCCAACTTTTTGGTCCTTTCCATAATTTTTACTCCGAACCTTAAGTTCATATATCAACAAAAAACATAACGTTGACACCACCTGTCTGGTTTCCCAGCCGGAAAATCCCCAACAAATACCTCAAATAATAGCCAGTGGCGCAACTAACGTAATTTCACCTTTGTTTGCTATTTGAATTGCCCACTGCATATAAACATTGTAACCGCTGATAATTACTCAATCTATTCGCCTATGCAACCGTTCTTTAGTCTCTTCGACTCTTGCCTTTCTCCTTTACTTTACTATCTCGCTATATCGCTCTTTCGTTCTATCGATCTCTATTCTTAGCATCGCGTAGGGCACGGGTAATTTGGTCCGTCTGCCCTAACATGCCTTCGCAAAGGCCATGATCTGGTCCAGCACTAGCATGCCTTTGCAATCTCTCGATCTTTTCTGTCGTCGCATATATACATACGCATATATTCGGTCAATTGGTGACACACGAATTGTGGTCTATATATGCATCTCGCTTCCAAGTTTCTTTTGCCATCGTTCTCATCATCTATGCTGCTCTCTCGCATTCTTTCTCTCTATCTATCGTACTCGGCTACTCGGCTCAGCAGCAGCCCGAGCTTCTATCGTTTATTTTCTCTCTCTCGCTTGCATTAGGGCACGGGCAATTCGGCCCGCCTGCCCTTTCTCAGTCTGGTATTGATCTTCATAACGTATCCATCGCTTTATTATATCGGTCACTTTATCGTCTACCTTACATTACCAATATATAATAAATTGTACATTACCCATTGAAACGCTAGACTTTTCTTAACAATTAAACGAGTTTCAACGGCTATTAAAAACGCTCAATAGCCAAACACCACCTTTCACAGGATTTTTGATTCGTTGTAAAAGAATAGATATACATGAAGAAATAGCGAATCAAAGTTAATTTTCTTACACTTTTGACTCATTAAAAAAAAAATTTTTTCGTAGGTTTTATTTTTAGACATAAACTTTTTAGCGGCATATATTCTTAACAAAATAAGCTACTTAGAAACAAAATTTTTCATGCAATTCCAACAGTACGATGTTTTTAGTAAATGTACATATTCCATTTTATATATCACAAAACAATGTTTGTTTACTTGGTATGTAATTCCAATTTAGATACATGTAAAATTAAAAAATTTCAAAACAAGCATTGCTTGGTTGGCCAGATACGGTAAAAATGTAAAATGTGATTTTCGGAGGGTTAGTCAACCAATTTTAGCTCCACTGTTTTTCCACAGATTTGAATGAACAATACCTTAAACGACGCCGAATTAATGCACATATGCACATTTTACACATAAATTTCGTAAAATATACCTCACAAAAATCATAATTTTCCATTTGAAACCTTCATTACTCCCAAACGGTAAGCTGAAATCACAAGGTCTTATTAATAACTGCATATCTTATAAACCAGAATTCAAAACATCTTTAAAAAAAGTTCTGCCATAGAAAAAAACATAATTCTTTAAAAAAAAATTTAAATCTTCCAATCTATCAGTAAAAGTTGGTTTGCTTACAATATAATAACTTATTAGGAATGGGAGAACTAGCTACTTGGCTATCGACGAAATTTTACAATTAGTTTTTGCAATATTGAAATTTTTTTTTTTTCTTCTTTATCAAAAAGCATGTATAATAACACTACTGAATACGATATTTCCTTAAGGAACCGAATCCACATTTCTGATAGATTTAAATCTTTAAAATTGTTTAATGAGATTTTATATACTAGTACTCAAAGAGTTAAGGGGTATTTTAGATTTGTGGTAAACGTGAATGTGTGCAACGCAGAGTATATATGTTCTGGATCAGTCTTGATAAGCGCATAGTTGCCATATTGCCGAATCTGGATCAGATCGGATCAAATATATTTACAGTTTCTAACCCCAACCCCTTCAGCGCTGTATCGCTACTCGTTCTCTTTCTCGCTCGCACACTCTGTGTCGATCTCTGGCGGAGGAGATGTAAAATATACAATGGTATTTTTTAAGCATTTTTCAGAGGTAGCGCTTCTTTTTTTCACATAACTCTAGTATCTTTCGTCTGGTCGTTGCTATTTTGAAAAGATAATTAAAACAGCAAGAAGTTAAGCCCAAGCAGTTTGTGATTTCAGCTTATCGTCTGGGAAATATAAAGCATTGAAATGCATTTTTTGATTGATTACGTGTAATTTTTTAATAAATCTCATTAACAACTTCCATTTTTGTTTGATGAATAACACTAGTCAACACTAGAATTAGGCTGTGGCCCAAAATTTAGATTCTTATAGATTTCGGGGTTTAAGTTTACTTAAGTTATGTGAAAAATAGAAGCACTACCTCTGAAAAAAACCATGAAAAAAATACCAGATTTTAAAAATTCTTAAAAAAAAAATGACACCATAAAAAAAAGAATAAAGTACTACAAAAATTTTTAAAGCCCGAAATCTATCAGAAAAAGTCATTTTGGTTCACAGCCTAAATAAAAAGTTCAATTTTGTCGAGTAGTGTAATTTCAATAAATCATTGTGCTGATCCTCTCCAACTATGCGCCTGGTTATTGCCGAATTAGGGCTATTGTAACCGCGACGTGCATCTACGCGTCCCTACCGCCCATGTAGTATATTTGTAAAAATGTATGTAATTCGGTTGGCATTGGCAGCATGAGCCTACATTATGGTACACTTATCCTTTAATTTTAAATTTGGAATTTTATGGTTGACCATTTTCCTCAGAAGATATTGTTGACTATTTCTGTTGCTCCGAATGCGAATGTACTTCAGGAAGATGTTTGAATCTGAATCCGTGCCGATGAGCAAGCTTTTCAATGGTTCCGGTGGTGTTTCAATTTGATGTAGTTGCACTTTTCCTGATACGCAACACATACCATTTGACTCATACTTATAGTTGAGCGCGTGACAATGGGGACATTCTTTGTCCACCAATCAGCACCAATCAACACTTTCTAATATCGGAATATTCAATATCCGTATGCATATGCGAATGCGAAACGAAGGAACGAAACGGATGTAAATACTCTTTATACTTGTTGGCGTTGTCGGTAATTTTCTGTAATATTGTCCATAATGTAGCAGTGCCCACGTCTCCGTTCCAATTAGCTGTTCTCATCACACAATAACCTAGGTTATATTTTAGCATTTTTATCTTGCTGCCAAAAACAAACATACAAATAAACGCAGGTTAATGTGGAATGCGATGGAATTGTTTTTTTTAGCTCGCGCCACCGAAGCGGAACAAACTGGACAACCGTAGATTGCTCTGGAATGGCTGGAAGTCTAGAAGGAGCAGCAGAAATAAAAGGAATAATCTGGAAAATTGCGAGCAGACTTGTAAATAGAGCTGCTTAAATTTGCAATGGAGTGCAAAGAATTAATTCAGTGAAACTTGTTGAAATTTCACAATTTGCACAAAATCGTTGTTATTGTCATTAGCTGTATTTTGATGGACATGAGATGTGCTCAGTGTGAAATCGGTGTTTTTGAGACTGGGTGTTGTATTTAAAAGTGCGCAGTAAATACTGAAAAGTATTAGTATTTTTTTCAATATATTTACAGTCTGGAATGAACGGTATCTTTTAACGTAAAGCCACGTGTTGAGCTCGTTTCTATTTCAGGCGGGATTTGAACTTCACATAAAACTTGATTAAAATTAAAATTGTATTTAGTTTTTCTAATATAGAATGGATGTAATATCTTGCGGCTGGTTTAGTGAAATTCAGGCCGAGTTATGGCCTGGACAGGCATTTTCTTTAAAAGTAAAAAATGTCATTCATAAAGAAAAGTCCAAATTCCAAGATATTCACATAATTGAAACGTGAGTTATACACATGTACATACATATGTAAAATATCCATACTTACCATTCTACACGTAAAGTTTAAAATCTGTAGTGGCGCCAATCTTGCAACATGCTGTTGCATAGCAGAAAGAGGGAATCCAATATTCTAATCATATCACAATTTAGCAATTTTTTAGTTGTAAATTTATTGAAAGGATGTACGAAGTATGCGAGGTTGCTAACACCGGCTAGCCAAAAATACGAACAATTCTATTCTAACGCTGCAGACGTAGATGTTTCAACTTATATCCTGTTAAGGGCTTTAAATACATGATTACATATTCAAATTTATATGCATATTTTTGAGTCACCAAAAAAACTTTAAAGTACAGACTGCTGTACACACATATGTACATATGTAGTCGGATTGTATAATAAATATTAGCGATTAAAGTATGCCTGTAACAGCATAGTCATCTCAAGATGGAAATAAAAAAGATGGATTTGTTATATGTACATTCGGGTGGCGGTTATTTTCGAAAATTCTGAATTTCTAAGCTCTTGGGGTCTTAAAATGTTCCTTTTGTTATTAAACAATAAATTAAAAAGTGGTATACGATTAGAGGTGCAGACTTGAGGTCACAGTTAAAAAAATACGATATTTTGGTTGTATGGCAGCTGTACCTTATATTACTCCGATCGAAATGATTAAGAATATGAGAATATCAGGGGTGCCACAGAAATCACTAGTGAAATTGGAAACCGCGCAGAGGATTTCCGCCATACCACAAAATTCTGAGCGATTTCATTTTTCTTAGCATTGTCACAAACCAAATTCGAACTAAGGCTAGGGCTGACATCTTTCAAGATTCAATTCGAATAGGGTTCATTTTGCAGTTTTATTGGTTTTATCATATCAAAACAATTGCTTTTTCTTTTATGATATAAAATAATTGATTTTTCAAAGGCAACTCTAGCAGTTCTCTGGCAACTCTCCGTGCTGTTCAAACAAAACGGACATCTGAATTTTACGGTAAACTTTTTTTTTTTTTTTACGTTGTCTGGACGTTGATATGCAATGACTGCACCATCAAGTGGCCCATGCGACACCAAGCCGAAGCCTGTTACGCGCGGAACCCAGGCAGAAACGCAGCCCTCCTCCCGCCCAACCGACCGAGGGGCGCTGCCGCATGACGCGCGACGCGTGTTACCGAACCGATCGCGAGCATGCAGGAAAGATAGGTGTTAGACTAAAATTCGAGGAAAATTAGAGCTAAACACAACTCAAAGAGCTAAGCATGCAAAGATAGCTAAAAAATATAACTAATTACGGGAAAGGTATGTTAGTATTAGTGATTTAAGAAGAGGAAGGGAATTAGTAGTTGATATTATGTGGTAAAGGGAATTGAAGTCCGAGCAAAGTACCCTAAATGGTTCGTGCAAGGAATAATTCTATCTACAAAGCGGAAGGAAAAGAGGAATGAAGTTTCTAGTAGATCTAATAGGAATCGTAAAGCTTATGCGGCTCAACAAGTCAGGGCTATCTACATCACCCTTGATCAGGTTGTGCATAAAAATCACACCAAGCATTTTTCTACGACTAACTAAGGTTGGAAGGTTTATTAAAAGCAATCTACGAGGATAAGATGGCAGTCTCACACCTGCATCCCAGTTAAGGCCACGCAGAGCAAAAAGTAAAAAGTTTTTCTGGACTGATTCTATACGGTCCTGGTGTACTTTGTACTGGGGGCACCATACACAAGAGCCGTATTCTAAAATCGGACGAACAAGCGAGATATAGAGAGTCTTCGTTATATAGGGGTCGTCAAATTCCTTTGACCACCTCTTTATAAACCCAAGCACACCCATGGCCTTATTTACCATGGTAGAAATGTGTTCAGAAAACTTCAACTTTGGGTCTAATTTAACACCAAGATCATCAACCAAGGTAATTCTCTCAAGAGAACCACCGCAGAGGCTATAAGGAGGCAAAAGGGGGCTTGAGCGATGAAATGTCATTACTTTGCATTTCGAGGCATTTAGGTGTAACATATTTGCACAACACCATGATTGAAAGTTATTGAGATCTGATTGCAAGCGAGAGTGAAATGAAATGTCCTTATACTGGACACAAAGTTTAACATCATCCGCATACATGAGTACTCGAGAGTTTGTTAATACTGAAGGCAGATCATTAATAAAGAGTGTGAATAGTAGGGGGCCTAGATGGCTGCCCTGTGGTACTCCAGAAGTAACCTTAACAGGTGAAGAGAAGGAGTTTTTGAAGAGGACTCTTTGAGACCGAGAACGAAGGTAGCTAGAAATCCATCTCAAAAGATTAGGCGGAAACCCTAAAGGGTCAAGTTTTTGTGCTAGAAGGGAATGGTTTACAGAATCGAATGCTTTACTGAAAGCAGTTTAAATGACATCCGTCTGCAAGTTACCTTGAAAGCCTTTAATGATAAAAGAGGTAAACTCTAATAAATTTGTGGTTATTGATCGTCGCCTTATAAATCCGTGCTGGGACGGAGATATAAGTGATTTGCAGAGATGTTGCAAGTGCGGAGTTAAAATTTTTTCAAACATTTTAGGAATAGCGGATAACTTAGATATACCTCTATAATTATTTGCACCAGACTTGCTACCTTTCTTATGGAGCGGAATAATAAAAGATTCCTTCCAGATGGGGGGAAGCATGAAGAGTTAATGGATAGGGTGAATAGTTTAAGCAAGGGTCCACACAGAGCGTCGGCACAGTACCTAAGTACACAGCCGGGAACTCCGTCGGGACCTGGTGAAAACACCGGCTTAACTAGTCGAAGATCATGAAGCAGTGAGCTTTCATTTAACAAGGGGCTGAAGATGCCATTCGACCTTGGTAAACTGTATGGATACGGCTGACCAGAGTAGCTTTCATGAGAATAGGTTGTTTGGAAAAATTTGGCAAAAAGATCGGCAATTGCCTGATCATTGTTTGCTGACATATTGAGAAAAGATAACGAGGATGGATGTACGGACGTTCTACGCTTACTATTTACGAAGCTGTAAAACTGTTTAGGGTCCTGTGAAAATCGTATCCTGCATCGAGATAGGTAAACTTAATTAAAATGCTTTTACCGAGACTGTTGGCCATCGAAGAGCTACGGAGGCAACATATTCGAATACAAACCTTGCAGCTCAGGCTTCTGAGATGCGCATCGGACTCGTTTTCGCGTTCAGACGATACGTATGTGGTTTTTGTGATTATCTTCACAAACTACTGCTAATTTAGTTCGTTACAATTACCTGTTTTAGGTATAATGATCGCTATGCTTCTATTTGTGCTGCCATGGGTCTGCACTTAGCCGAACAGGGTTTTTTGACATAAATGCAATGGCAATAATATGTAGAAATGGTTTGTTAGTTCTGTTTTGGCATGCCACCTGGTATAACTACAAATTTTGTATTTGTATTTATTTATTTAATACGGTTCAACTATGAGCAGTTAAACTAACAAATTATAACGTAATATGAAAAGGACAAGAACATGGATTATCAGACTATGGATATTATCTTGACCCAATAGGACTAATTTATTGGCAAAATAGCCGCTATGGTCCAGCTCACAGCAAGTTGTGGTCAGGAAATAGCCTATAGCCTATTAAGTTAAGATAATTAATTTAAGTTATTTGTTAACAAAGATTTTACCTTAATAGAACTAGTGTCGAAGGAAAACAGATGGAAGAAGGTATTGTAGTTACGGCAAACGCTATGGAAAGATTCATGGTCAGAGTAATTAGAAAGACAGAGTTGAAGATGAAGCGGAAAGTAATGCCTAGTCGGGCGGGAAGTGACAGAAATGCTAATAAGGCTACTAAGGGCAGTGGAATCAACCTCACCAGCGAGAAGTTTTTGAAGAAAAAGCACTCCATGGCAAATCCTACGGCTTTCAAGAGAGCAGATATCGAGGAGCCGGAGCCTACTCTCATAAGAAGGAAGATGTCTAGAGGGGTCCCAATTAAGGCCACGAAGTGCAAAAAGGATAAACTGTTTTTGAACCGACTCAATCATATCCTGATATTTTTGATAATGCGGAGACCAAACGCAGGAACCGTATTCAAGGATAGGTCGGATAAGGGATACATATAAAAGTTTAGTGGTATAGGGGTCGGTGAGCTCCTTAGACCATCTTTTGATAAAGCCCAGGACGCCTCTGGCTTTATTCGAAATAGTGGATATGTGTGAGTTATAACACAGATTAAGTACAAAGATAATTCCCAAGTCAGTAATGGACAGTTATGGATATTATAGTCAAAGAGGTAAGGCTTTTTGCGATGGAATGTCATGACGTTACATTTGGAAATGTTAAGGGGAAGAATGTTTATTAAGCACCAGTTGTTGAAGGCGTCAATATCAGATTAGAGACATAACGGGGGCATGGCGTCGCTATAGGAGAAACATAACTTCACACCGTCCGCATACATAAGTACTCGGGAATGAGTTAAGACTTGGGGAAGATCATTGATGAAAAAATTAAACAACAGAGGGCCAAGATGGCTACCTGGAGGTACCCCCGACGATACAGAAACAGGCTTAGAAAGAGAGTTATTAAAACAGACACGCTGAGATCGACTACAAAGGTATGCCTTAATCCAGAAAAGAAGTTTAGGCGGAAGCCCTAGGAGAGATAATTTATGGATAAGCAGATTATGATTTACTGAATAAAAGGCTTTACTAAAGTCAGTATAGACTACGTCAGTTTGCGACTGCTTAGCGAAATCCTCATGCACGAAAGTGGAGAATTCCAGGAGGCTAGACGAAATAGACCGACGTTTTACAAATCCATGCTGCGATTCAGAGAATAATGAACAACAAAAGTGTTGGAGCTGGAAAGTAATTATTTTTTCGAAGAGTTTGGGAATGGCGGATAAATTGGATCCCACGGTAATTAGAAACATCCGATTTAGAGCCCTTTTTATGAATGGGAATAATATATGACTCTTTCCAGACAGTGGGAAAATCGCCGAGCTCGAGAGATAGGTTAAACAGTTTAAGGAGGGGCACGCAGAGAGAATCTGCACAAAGTTTAAGGACAGCACTAGGAACCATATCGGGGACGGTAGAAAAAGAAAATTTACATGACTTTACATTAATTAAGAGGTCATTATAGTCGATGAAGGGGGGATAGATACAGTTAGAACTATTCATGTGGAAAGGATAAGATTGATTGGGACGAAGTATGTCAGAAGAAGCCAGAATAGAGGGATGGTTATTAGAGGGAACTGAGTAGCAGAGTTGAAAAAATGAAAAAAAAAACATTACAATCGTTATCAGCCTGGCTGCCGTTAAAAGAAAAAGATGACGGAAATTGGGAAGATCTTTGCTTAGGATCATGCTTAAAGCTAAGTCTACATTTGGACAGGTAGTCATTATAACATGTTTTATTAAATAAAAGAAAATTTCCCCTTAGCGATTGAATACCTAGAGAGGTCAGATTGCGAACCAGTTCTTTTGAGCCTTTTATACAAGCGAGATTTAATCTTCCGAAGGTTTAGCAAACGCGGGGTGAACCAAATAGGGCCACTAACATGATGCGAAGGTGAAATTAAAGGTACATAGGTATTAAAGACATTAAACAAGGAACAATAAAATGCATTTGTAGCCGGATCAATTTCATGAAAGTCTTCGAGAAATGACCAATCAATCTGAGAAAGTGCAAGATTCAGGCACGTAAAATCTGCTTTCCTGAAGCCAAATTAGACGGTGGCTTAACGGGAGTTTTGATGGGATCCGAGGAGGGCACCTGCAAGAAATTTCAAGTGTGGGATGATAAGGATCTTGTGGGAAAGATAGAGGAGACCCTCTGCAGACCATGGTATTCGATATGTCGGAAGAAAACACGAGACCAAGAAGTCTACCCAAGTTATTGGATATAGCATTGACCTGACCCAGCGATGTATCCGACAATGAATCAACAAAATCATGCTGAATAGATGGGAACATCAGGTTAGAGTCAACAGAAGGAGACCATGAGATATTAGGTAGGTTAAAGTCGCCAAGGACTATAAGACGATCAGAGTCATTAAGTTGGGACGAAACAGACTGAAGATGGGAAACGTGAAGTATATAAGTGGAGAATTCGGAGGACGGCGGAATGTAAGATCAGGATATAAAGAGCTTAGAAGAGGGCCAGCAAAGCTTAACAACAATAATTTCAATGTTATTAAGCCCTTCGACATGAACGATTTGGGAAGCTATGGTCGAACGAACAGCAATCAGGACTCCGCCACCACGAGATGGACGATCATACCTATATATGTTAAATTTGTCAATGAGAATCTCGGAGTCATAAATAGAGGAGTTGAGCCAGGTTTCGAAAAAAGCGATTACATCAGTCTCAAAAGATGCACTGTCAGTATATAGCTTGTTAAGCTTACTGCCCAAGCCCCGAGCATTCTGATAGGTTATCTTAAGGGAAAGAGGCAAAATTAGTTTTTTGAGGCCGGGGGTAAAGCTGCCGGAGATGGAGTTGGACGGACAGAAGTTAAAGCAGTCGGAGATGGAGTTGGAAGGACACCCACTCGTCGTTCCGGGCTAGAGGGACGATTGGTAAACACATGACAGATAGTATGTCTACAATGGCTACAAATTTTCACAATTTGCACAAAAAGTATGGACACGTTTGACGTAAAGGAAGTATTACTGCAATGAGCTATTTTTATACCCGTACTCAAAAAAGAGTGTGTAATGTGTGTAACGCAGAGAAGAAAACGTTTCCGACCCCATAAAGTATATATATTCTTGATCAGCATCAATAGCCGAGTCGATATAGCCATGTCTGTCTGTCCGTCTGTCTGTCTGTCCGTCTGTCCGTCTCGATGAGCGCCTCGGTCTCAGAGACTATAAAAGCTAGAGAAACCAAATTTTGTTTCCACACTCATGTGATATCACACTGCTACAAGTGTATTTCAAAATTTCGCCCTGCCCCCTTCCGCCCCCACAAAGGACGAAAATCTGTGGCAGGCACATTTTTAAAGATACGATAAAACTAAAAACGCAGTATCGTAGAGAATGCTCATATCTACCGGACTGCCGAATCTGAATCAGATCGGATCATAATTATAGCCAGAATGAAGAAATTAATTTTCAGTTGCTTCCCCTGCTCCCTCCTGAAACGACAACGCAACTCATTTTCTTTCTCGCTCGCACACTCTGCCGCGTTCAGTGCGCGAGCAACCCCTAGCGGAGGAGATGTAGAATATAAATGGTACATGTAAAATCTACATGTTAGATGTAGAATAGACATTGTATATGTAGATGTAGATAGCAGATGTAGCAAAAAAATGTAAAATGTAAAATTTATTTTTTAATTCTAAAATTCTAAAAAATCATATGCTCAAAAATGTATATACTGACTGAGTACGGGTATAAGTAGAGTCGCGTCCCCAGAAGCGACTCGCACGTTCCTTCTCGTTTGTAATGCTTAATTAAAGAAAACCAGAATGCTTTCAATAAAATTAATATTAAATATCTTGCTCCGAATTCGGCTTAAAAAAGGTGGCATTACTATTTTAACTTCGAATGTCCGAATCGCCATAGGTGGCCACCTCGGGCTGCAGCGGATTGAGTGCGGAATCGTTAAGTGAAAATTCAGTCAGCGGATTGAATAGTGATTTACTAAAATACTTATTTTATTAACTTAACATGTATAATGTTAAATTATTTGGATGAGGGTCAATCACCAATTGAACAACCTTTATGGGAAAGTAAGATTCGAATCATTTTAGGTGTGTTTTATGGGTGTATTTAATCAAATCGCTGGAGAAATTGTGAGCGATTTTGATTCCGCTGAAAAATTGGTGTGTGGCACGGCGGAATGGAATTGAGGTGATTTTCCAGCGGAAGTGATTTCTGTGGCACCCCTGTATAACTCTTCTTCAAATATTTCAGCTCGATTGGGTTATATTTAAGCCAAAAAAAAATAGTTAAAGCACAGCCGCTCCCTGATATTTCATGCATTTGTGACTTCTCTAGTCGGTGGTTTTCGCAAATAATATACTTTTTTCCGACCAGAACGGTCAAAATATTGTTTTAACTATTCCAATAGGGCTAAAACTTATTATTAAAACTATTAAACTATTATTTCATAACAAAAGGAACATTTTAAGACCCTGAGATCTTTGAAATTCAGAATTTTCGAAAGTAAGCGCAGACCTAATGTACATGCTTAATTATGAATACTGATGTTTAGTTATTAAATCACTAGCTCTATCCTAGTGGTAAGGTACTTGCGAAAAACCCCATATCCTTTCTGCCTCCTCTGATTAGCGTGTTTTCACATTTTTCTTAGAGATAAATAAATTCAAACATGTGTATGTAGAAACAGCAAACAACAGTACCTTCCGACCGGGGTTCTGTTATATTCTGATCTTTTGGTTTTTAAAATTATAGTATTTTTTTTTCTGTTTTCAGTGAAACATATGGGAAGTGCTTAATATTAGATGGAATAATACAATGTACGTCCAGAGATGAATTTTCGTACCAGGAAATGATAGCCTTTCTACCTCTTTTTTCTCATCGGAATCCCAAGAAAGTATTGATTGTTGGCGGCGGTGATGGTGGCGTGGCGCGTGAAGTTGTAAAACATCCCTTGGTTGAGGAAGTACATCAAATAGAAATAGACGAGCGCGTTGTGGAGCTTTCAAAACAACATTTACCTTCAATGGCATGCGGCTTCAAGAGCGAAAAGGTAAAGCTCACTATTGGCGATGGTTTTGAGTACATGATCAAACATAAAAATGAATTTGATGTCATTATAACGGATAGCTCGGATCCAATTGGTCCAGCAGTAAGCCTGTTTAATGAAAGCTATTATAATTTAATGAAACATGCTTTAAAAGAAGATGGAATCGTGTGCTCGCAAGGAGGTAGCTTTTGGCTAGACTTAAGTTATATAAAAAAAACAATGGCGGGTTGCAAAGAGCACTTCCCAAAAGTTTCCTATGCAATAACTTCAGTTCCGTCTTATCCATGTGGTCATATAGGATTTGTTATAGGTTCTTTAAACAAGAATCAAAAGTTCATTAACTCTGTAAATGAAATAGAAAATTTTGATATCGAAGCTTTGAATTTAAAGTACTATTCTCCGGAAGTACATGATGCAGCATTTGCATTGCCACGCTGGGTACAGAAAAGCTTAATGTCGGACCTAAATTAAATTTTAACTAATAGTCAAAATGTTAATTCCTTATTTCTAATGTTATGTATAAATACAAGTTGAAATTTTCCCAAAAAAATTGTCAATTATTTACTATCGGAAGTGCAACGGTGTATAGAGTTTCGCTGGAGGGGTTCTCCGTATTCCCCGAAAAATCCGAATGATCTCGGATTGATCTCAGCCATCATGTTTTGAGTTCTGGTGAACGCGTATGATGCATACTTTATTATCGCAACGTCGTTAATATAATCGGCTCAGAACCTATCGATATTGGCTTCGAAGATTCGCGACTCGCTCCACGAAACAGGCACGTAAATTTGGCATATTTTTTCGTAAAATCGAAGAATTTAGCTATTTTTATGATTTGTTTATTTATTTTCTTCGCGATTAAGTGTGTCCTCGAATCAATACGTCAACTATCGAAATAAGCCCTTTCGCCACCACAAAAGACGAACATCTGTGGCATCTAAAATTTTAAAGATATGAAAAATCAAAACGAGAAGTAACGCGTGAGTCGCTTCTTTGGACGCGACTATACTTTTATACCAGAGGTCGGCAGCGTCGTATGCCCTGTTCATAATAAAAAATTTCGGGCAGCGCAGTTTGCACACGTACAGCGTAAAGACTTCGTGTGGTTTCGTTATTCTGCGCTGTTGACGTAGCGGCAGAGAAAATTCTGCCTCACTGACGTAGCGGCAGAGAAACATGCTTCGGGCCATGCACAAGCGGCTTCTTATTCTGCTCACTTGCCTCAGCGGCAGAGAAGCATTCGTGTGCCCTATGCACAATTACTCGGCTTTTGCAGCGGCGGAGAATAAGTCACGTATTTGACTTCGTGTCTTTTGTCTTCGCACACAAACGCACCAAAAAAATGTGTGAGTCTGTGTGCCGACCCCTGTTTTATACCCGTACTCAGTCAGTATATAAATTTCTGTCTTACATTTTTTGCTACATCTGTTATCTACATCTACAATGCATATTCTACATATAAAGTATAGGATGTACATCTACTATTTAGATTATACATCTTAGCCAGAGGGCGCTCGCGTACATAACGAGGCAGAGTGTGCGAGCGAGAAAGAAAATGAGTAACGCGATCTCTGGCTGGAGGAGGTGGGGGAAGCAACTGAAAATGAATTTCTTTATTCTGGCTATAATTATGATCCGATCTGATTCAGATTCGGCAATCTGGTAGATATGGTAATTTTCTACGATACTGCGTAGTCTTAGCGTATCTTTAAAATTGTGCCTGCCACAGATTTTCGTCCTTTGAGGGGGCGGAAGGGGGTGGGGCGAAATTTTGAAATACACTTGTAGCAGTGTGATATCACATGAGTCTGGAAACAAAATTTGTTTCCTCTAGCTTTTATAGTCTCTGAGATCCAGGCGGAAAACAAGACGGACAGACAGACATGAATCTATCGACTCGGCTATTGATGCTGATCAAGAATATATATACTTTATGGGGTCGGAAACGTTTCCTTCTCTGCGTTACACACATCCACTTTTACCACAAATCTAATATACCCCTTAACTCTTTTTGAGTACGGGTATAATTAACAGATAAAACAAAATGTTTTTGGATACCTAAATCAAAAGAAACTTATTAAGAGACCTACACATTCTTAACTTTTATTTCGTCTTACCTTTGAGAACCAAATAGAACCATGTAACACATTAATTTAACTAACAACGCACACTGTAATCACTGAATCCACTTACCTGACTAAAAAACTGAAAAAAAAACTTTTAAAAGAATAAACATTGTTTGGTTACGCAGCCAAATAATCAGTAGATCATAGTCAGTGGTACAGCAGTAGAGAAAATATCTATTATTGTTCAGCATTTCTACTGCCCACTGCTTAACTTTGTCATCTACATACATATGTACATATTCATGCTCCCGCACGGCAGCAGCCTATGCCGCCGTCCTCTCGCGTCTTCAACTCACACCTTTCTTTCTATCGCCTTTCGCTATTACTCTCTCGCTTGCATTAGGGCACGGGCAATTCGGCCCGCCTGCCCTTTGAATTAGTCTTGATCTTGCAATCACTGCGCATCGTCTTGGAATCGAGCTATTCAATCCGACACCGTCTTGAACCGACCCCCGCGTCTTCAAGCTGACCCCGTCTTGAATCCAGCTAACTATCTTTTCGACTCTGTATCGCTTATTTACTTCACCACAATAAACTGTGAATATATATATTGAACAATCATCGCCTTTTTAATAATATCGCAATACAACTCTACTGAAGAAGCTCAGTAGCTCAACATTTGGTGACCCCGACGTGATATAAACAATTAAATCACAAAAACAATAAAACTTGTCGTTCGTTGAATTCGCATTAAGCCACGGGCTTTCGGTATTCGGTTGTGCACAAGCAACAAAAACGGTGCTCGCGTCGTCTGCTTTGCGATCTGCTTGCGGTTCTTGCTGCATTTATTGCAAGCGTTCGCTCTTCTTTGCGGTCATCTTCCCGCTAGAAACGTTTTCTAGCGCCTGCTGCCGAAATGGGTGCGAGGAACGACGGTGCAGTGACCGCTGCTGGAAACAGTGTGGCTTTCCTAAAGCGGAAGGCACCAGCGTTATTTCAACGGATGAAGCAGCTAGAAGTTGTCTTGGAGAACGCTTCCCTATTTGACCACTTCATGCTCGTTGGCAGGCTGAAGCAAATCGAGGAGCTGCACGGCACTTTTAAAACCGTGCACAGTGAACTCGAGAAGCTGGACTGCGACGAGATTGGGAGTGAACTCGCCGATGACTTTGAAGAGCTGTTTGTGACGCTCACTGGGATCATTCTCTCAGAGATCACTAAGCGGTCCACTTCCGTAGCTCCGCATCCTGCGTTTGGTCAGGAAATCACACCGGCCCCATTCCAAGTGGATTCGTGCGCGATTTTGGAGCCAATTGGACTGATCGACAGAAGTCAATGCCAATCGAAGCATCTGTTTATTGTTCCGGCTGTTCATGGTGGAGCAGGGGACGATGAATCCTATTCGAAGTTAGATGGCGTCCTCGATTGCATCAACACAGGTGGACTTGCGTCGGATCAGGTTCCTGCTCAGGCTACGACCTCGCTTACATACCTTTAAGCATTGTGGATTCCCTGCAAACGCCCCGTTCCGGCCGATGTTCATCTGAACGAGCCCCCGCTCTCTGCTGGCGGACGTAATTCTGGGCATCGCGCTGGACCTCGAGCTGTGCTGGGCCCAAGACCATCCCCACATTGCCCTATTGGGGGGAGAGCAGAAATTGCTAATCCCTCAGTCTTAATTTCAGAGAGCCATGCTAATCTGGACACATCACTTCCAGTGCCTGGTTTGAATGCGCTATTCTTCTTCGCCTCTTCTTCTGTCGCCGAGCCTCACATTACATGGCTCAACTTCAACCGAATGGGTGCCGGACAACGCGTTGCTTCCATGCATCGAATCTACAGGTCTCGATGGAAGGAAGAACGGCCCCATCAACAACAAGCTTTGCCTGCTGAACCCTGTATGCTGTTGAAAAGGGATGTTAAAGACCCGTGCTCTTCAACGGGGGGAGTATGTTTGGTTACGCAGCCAAATAATCAGTAGATCATAGTCAGTGGTGCAGCAGTAGAGAAAATATCTATTATTGTTCAGCATTTCTACTGCCCACTGCTTAACTTTGTCATCTACATACATATGTACATATTCATGCTCCCGCACGGCAGCAGCCTATGCCGCCGTTCTCTCGCGTCTTCAACTCACACCTTTTTTTCTATCGCCTTTCGCTATTACTCTCTCGATCTGTCGCTCTCTCGCTCGCATTAGGGCACGGGCAATTCGCCCGCCTGCCCTTTGAATTAGTCTGGATCTAGCAACCACTGCACATCGTCTTGGAATCGAGCTATTCAATCCGACACCGTCTTGTACCGACCCCCGCGTCTACAATCTGACCCCGTCTTGAATCCAGCTAACTCTCCAACCGACTCGTCATCAATCTAACTTGAACCTTTCGCTATCTCTTTGACTCTGTATCGCCTTTATACTGTTTACAACAATAAACCATATTTAATCTAAACGACCATCGTCTCGTTAATAAACATATAGCAATACTACGCTAGTGAAAAAGCTCGCTAGCTGAACAAACATCTAAATCAGGGGTGCTTACGGCAGAACCACTCACCAATACTCCCAAACAAAAACACAAATACGAATAAGGGAACAGTGCAATCTCGAAGAAAAGACAACAACAAAATCATAACAAAAGTCGGTAACACCAATCAGAGAAGAGACAAAACCGTTTTTTGCTGTACGGATCGCATACACACAAAGATGTTTGCATGTGTTGGGCTTTCGGTATGCTGGTACACAGCACAAACTGTGTATGCACACAAGAATTGGTTTCCTATGCTGAGGCCAATTACTAAAACAAAAGGGCTCGCAGGGCAATGGGCCTGGGCATCGCTGATCTAAACAGACGCTCAACTAAAAAAATCACAGCTGCTCACAACAAAAGAATGAACCAATTAATCGGTTTTTTTTTCACTCAAACAACAACAACCAAAATCCATATTCTAATGATCCCGTGATTTCATCTATTAGACATTGGAGATTTTAATATAAGTCGGCACATTGTTATTAAACAGAAATGTTAAGTTTATTAGATAAACCTTCCATTGTGGAAGACTATTAAAAAAAATGTTGTTTGCATATTTTTTAAAGCAGGGGGCCCCCTGCTTACTCGTTTCGCTCGTTCGCCAAGTCTTTTATAGATCTTTATTAAAAAGTTATTATACCTGTACTACCTGCAGAGAAGGAAACGTTTCCGACCCCATAAGGTATATATATTCTTGATCAGCATCAATAGCCGAGTCGATATAGCCAGAAGAAGAAGAAGATGTAGAATTCAAATAGTAGATGTATGTACAACCTACATTTTATTTGTAGAATATGCATTTTAGATGTAGATAACAGATATAGCAATAAATTTAAAATGTTTTAAAATTCTACATAAATCATAAGCTCATATATTTAAATACTGACTGAGTACGTACGAGTATAAAAGTAGAGTCGCGAATCACACGTTCCTTTTCGTTTTTGTTTTGTACTTGT